TATACTTTGCACCTGGGAGAGGCCAGGGATAGGGCAGGATTGGGCAGAGAAAGAAGCTGGATGGCCAAGCAGGCCTAATGGAGCCTCAGGGAGCAGCAGGGAACTCTGGAGCAAAGGGGTGCCCAATAGTAGCCTGGTCTGGAACAGAAGAGCCCAGCCTTCACACCTTCACCTCCCTCTGTCAGCAGACCTGGGGTCCTGGGAGAGGCACCATCTCAAGCCAGGTGTCTCTGCAGCTGAGAGGACCAGCTCACAGGGGTCCCCAGAGGGCTGCCCCCTCCACCCCTGCAGCTCAGTCCCGGTCTCTCCTCGCCGGGCGTCTGGGCAGCCCATCTCCACACCCAGCACATAGCTTTCAGTTTCTGGCACTGAATTAAGTGTGGTCCCGTTTTGAGGACTCAGCACATACAGGCTGATAGAGAAGAATGGCCTGGTGTGGAAGCGCCCAGAGGGGAGTGGCAGGGGCCACTGCCTGGGGGTCCCACGGGGGTTCACCCCAAGTCTGTAGCAGCATCACCTTCAACAGGACACAACTTCAGAGCAAGGGCATGGATTTTTTTTTTTTTGAGGGGATCAACTAGTCCTGTTTTGCAGCCCTGGCTGTGGAGCAGGAGGGAAGCCAGGTGCAGATAGTGGTGACAGGCAAGGAAGGTGCGGCAGAGTACTAGGACTCATGGGTAATAAGTGCCATTGATGTCCTCCCATGTGGGGTCTATGGGCAGAGAAGTGACAGGTCAGAAGAAGGTCACTTAACCAAACGACAAAGCACCCTCAAGACTGGAGGTCAGGGCATCTGCCAAGGCTCAGGCCCCAGGGACGAGAGGCTGGTGTTGTCCTGGGGACTGCATGGGCCACCATCCCTGAGCTAGTTAGGGATGTGACCACGTGGCCATTGACTCACTAGTGGAGAGCCTGCCGTTTGGCTTTGTGTCCCTGTCAGGCACTGGCACTGGCACAGGTGGCTCCCAGTGGCTGGCAGAAACCCCCTTGCTGTGCATTTCAACCGTGGGCAGCAGGAAGGAAGTCAATGCAACGAAGAGTCCATTAGAAGATGAGAGGAGCTCTGAAGCAGCGTCCAGCGGTGGGGCAGGCTGCAATTTCAACCAGGGCATCTGCAAGGCCTCGCCGAGGAGCTGGAGGTGGGGAGCCCTCCATGCAGACATCAGGGCCAAGCTTTCCTGATGGCCCAGGATGGCTGCAGGCTCTGGCCTTTGCACTGGCTGTAGCAGGCCAGTGTGACCACAGGGCAGGAAGCAAGGGAGAGGGAAGGAGAGCAGAGCACCTCGGAGGCCACTGCAAGTACTTCAGCTATCACTCCTAGTGAGGGTGATACCCACGGGCAGGTGGCGTGACACCTGATACACACATTTAACAGCATCCTGCAGACTGCTCTCTGGAGGAGAGGCTGAACGCTGGGGCCTGCAGGTGGAGAACCAGACAGTGTGGGCAGATGATGTGACCAAAGTGGGCAGCTGTGGCTCTGTGGCTTCAAAAGACAGTTGACTGTGGTGTGTGTGTGTGTGTGTGTGGAAACTGGGAAAAAGAAAGCATACCTATTTAGCTGTCAGCACCTGTCATTTAGTCTCTATCTGCCAGGACCTCTGCACCTTCTTCCACCCCTTCTGCTAGCTTTTCCCTTTCTCTCATCAACCTAAGTAACAAAGTTTCTCCAAAGGTTGCAAAGTTTATTTGGGAAGAGCAGAATGCCACGGTGGGAACTCATGTGCCATGGCAAATTACAGGCATATTCAAAGAGACAGAGGTGAAGGGAAGATTTAAAGGCGAACCAGACAGGGTGGCATAAGAAATTTAGAAGCAGCAATCCTTGGTCACAAGGACCAAGGTTGAAGAGACTTTATTGGACAGATGTCCTTGCAGAAATATTGTTCGAGCAAGGCTGCGGTTCTGGCGGAGTCTTTGGGAATAGCTCTCTTTACCAGCATAATGCACAAGCTCCTCCGCGAGCTTCCCGCATTGTTTATCGATTCTTATTTGTTAGGCTTGACACAAGTGGCTCCATTTCAGTGTGACAGCTTCCACACTCCCGACGCTGACACACTCTGTGCCCGTGTCTTGCATTCCTGTTTGTTATTTTTAGGCTCCTTCTTTACACTAGGTTTGCACCTGTCTGTTTCCCACGCTGGTGCTCCAGGGAGGAGAGGTAGGCAGATGCCTCCGTCTCCCTCCACGTCTCCACCGGCCTCTCTCCCCTCTAGCTTCCTGCCTGCCTATCCTCACTTAGTGTGCGTTATTGCCCTACCAGGTGTCCCAGGTCATTATGTAGTCTCCCGTTAAAGATGTTTACATTGCGCCTTCGTTGACATCAATCCCTTCACTTGTACCTTAGGAGCATGCCAGAATATAGATCCTGAAGCTCATTTCAAATTCTGTTGCTTATTTTACCTAAAATAAAAACAAGTCAAAACCATGTTTCTCAAGTTCAAGTGATGTTAAAAAAAAAATCCTCCAAAATTTCTAGGTTGCATAAACTTATTTTTAAGATCATTTATTAAATATACCTAGATATAAACTGAGATTAAAGACTTCATGCTTATGTAACGAAGGCCCAAATAAATTAAATATAAATGAAAGTACAAAACCAAAGCATGATATTAATACAGCAGGTGCTGTCATTTTGCTGACACCTGACAGGGCCCTGACTGGTTGGCACAGGCCCTCCACCCCTGCCCACCACCCTGGGGAGAGGTCTCTGGCGTCTACTGCTTCTTCCTGCACCTCACGCCCTCAGCCTAGAGGGCCACACCGCCCCCTGCTGGCCATGCCTCCTTTGCCCACGCTCTACCCCTGTTCTTTCTGGTTCATTTCAGAAAACTCAGCAATGGCTACTTGCTCCCAAAAAGGTTTAAAGTACAGAACTGACGTAAGGGCTGACTTTGCATAGCAGCTCTTGGTCAAACTGTAGCCAGTCGGACGAGCCAGGATGTGGGTTTACTAGCTGTTCAGATGAGCATCAGAAAAACAAGCCCACAGTGCGCAACAGCCCCAACAGACCTCCACCCTCAAGCATTCGTGGCCGTGGCTGGAGACACTTGGCTCTAGGACAGTCTCTCTCTTTAAGGATCCAGTCTCCACCTCTACAGTACCAGACGTGCCTGTGGCAACTAATTCATTATGTTTGCCCCACCAAAATATTTGCCTCGGGATTTTCATTTATTTTTTTTTAAATAGGAAATGTTTTGCACTACCTCCATGAACATTTATGAGCCACTTTCCGTAGTGTTAAATACTATATAATCTCAAAGGCTAAAACGATGTTCCATTTATGGTATCTTTCGTGACTATAAAATTACAAAATCAAAACTAACCCGGTATTTGGGGTCATCCAGAGCCAATGGGATATATAGAGAGAGACATGCACAGGAAAAGATTTATTAGGATAATTAGCATCCGTGACATGGAAGCCAAGAAGCATCACTCTGTGTCTCACATGGAGCTGAAAACCAGGAAGGGTGTTATAATTCAGTCTAAGTGTGAAGGCCCGAGAGCCAGGGGTGCAGGTGCAGGGCTCTGGCTAGTGAAAGTCCCAGAATCAGCACCTGAGAGCCAGGTGCTCTAAAGTTTGAGGCAGGGGAAGAGGGACCAGGACCACTCACCCTCCCTGTCTTTCTGTTGCTCAGGCCTTAGCGCCCACCCTCCCCAGTGGGGGTCATCCTCTGTGTTCAGTCCACCAGTCCAAGTGCCAGTTAATATCTTCCAGAAACACCCTCAGAGACACACCAAGTAATAACGTTTTACCAGCAATCTGGGATCCCAGACTGTCCAACCAAGTCTACACGTGACATTAATAGTCACAGCAGCCACAGTCCTCTCTGAAGTAACCCACACAGTGCTGTAAGCCTGTCTGAACACTCCTGTCCCTGCCAGGCACTCTCCACTTCCCGGTTGGTTTAAATCCTACCTCCCAGAACAAGGCACAAGTCAGGCCATCTTGCAAAGGACATCTCCATCCACGTAGAGACCTGTTGGTCATTCCTTAGCCTGTCCTCGCCCAAACACCTCCGTCCCTGCACCCAATCTTACATCACAGTGAATGAAGTGAGCACTCGGGGAGTTCTCCGACGTGTCCTGCCTACAGTCTGAGGTCCCTGACAGAGCGTCCAGCAGATCATGCAGTGCACAAGTCTCCTCTCAGAGAAGCGGGTTTTATGTCGATTTTGTTTCTGGAGTTCAAAGTGTAAAGGTGACCTAACACTGAGGGATAATTCTATTAAAAAGACAGATGGAGCCCATTCTCCTTGATATCGAGCATTTACAAACTTATGCGTCTGTGAATGTGAGCGTTTAGGTGTGATTGATTTAGATGGCTACTTCACTTCACAACTGACGAAAGGACACGGGAAGGCCTGGAGAGGCGGGGCTGGGCTGGCAGAGCGCGAGAGTGACAGGCAACAGGCGGCCACAGGGCTCTCCCCAAGTCCTTCCAGAAGGACCTTCCCAGACTCAAGTGCAGGATCCCACGGGTCTTGACATGGCCTCTTGTGAGACCCAGGTGAGGTCACAGGCTCAGCGAATCCTGCCAAGCCAGCATGTCCAGCTTCTCAACTCAGTGAGCAGGACCCTGGCCCTAAGGGAGAGGAAACCCAGTAAGATCAATAAGTGAAAACCTACAGTTACTCTGGCCCCACAAATCCTGATTCTGCATGAGGAACAAGTGACACATTGGGCATGTTTCAAGGACCAGAAATGGCATGATATCCCCAGGTCCCACACTGTGCAGGTCACATGGAGAGGAGAGAAGAGTCAGGCAGTGCCAGAGCCTCACGCAGCCTGTCCCTAAGAGTCAGAGCTACACCCGGGCTGGAACCACAGCTCCTTTGAAGATCTGCCTCTCTGTGGCTGGTTAGACAGGTGTTCCCAGGGACACACTTGCACCCTCCCAAACATCAGCACCGGTTGTCGACTGTCATAACTGCGTGGAAGAACATTCTAGTGCACGGAATGCAAATGACATTTTTGTGATTAATTCTTCTTCCCAACAGCTGGCTGTCCCAACTCCTTGATTAAAGAGCTCCATCACTTCAGGATTCTTGGAGAAGAGCAGGTGAGTTACCCTCTCCAAAGCTGCATCCTTGTGTCACGAAAGATAGACGCTAATGAGACAGTTTGGGCTCCCTCCAGGGAGGCCGAGTGTGTCTCCTGACCCAGGGCGCCCTGAACGGGGGAGGAAGCCATGCTGGAGATGTGCGGGGGTGCTTCTCTCCTCTTCTATCCATCAGACCTGACAGGTTATTAATTGGTACATCTGCTATCTGCCAGAGCATTTCATCTCAAGACTTGAGCCTTGAGCAGGCTCTGCATAGTGGCAGATGAGCAAACAAATAAATGCGGAGATGAATTATGCCTAAGGAATCAATAGTCACAGACATTTCCGATGTGATGTCTGGGTGCACGTGCAAGTTCCTTTCACCAGATCTCCATCCTTTGTGTGCGTTAACAGTGTTTTACAGCAGTCCCTTCCTGTGTGGGTGTGTGCATGTGACCTACAGAGGATGGCCCCTTAAAGGACAGATTATTTCAGTGTTCTGTTGTGCTTAGTAAGGAACACTGGTTTTAAAATAGATGCACTAAGAAAATACTTTAGGGTGCTAAGTGGATGTGTATGTACACATGAGTATGCATTTTACTACTTAAAAAAATTGATTATACATGGCCATAGCTTCCACGTCTGCAGAGTCAACCAACCACAGATTGAAAATATTTGGGGAAAAAGAAATAGCAATCAAAAATAAAATGAGCTAGATGCAGGGGGCACACCTAAAATCCCAGAGACTCAGGAGGCTGAGGCAGGAGGATTGCAAGTTCAAAGCCAGCCTCAGCAATTTAGCGAGGCCCTGTCTTGAAATAAAACATAAATGGCTGGGGATGATCCTCAGTGTTTAAGCACCCCTGAGTTTAAACCCTGCCCTGGAGTCCTGGAATCAATCCTTCATGGATACTGAGGACAACTTGCAGCCAGGAGGCTAGAGCCTCCAGGAGGAGAGGCAGTTGTGCCCCATGCTCATCCGGTGGGACCAGCCTGAGAAGGAGGCCTGGAATTTGCAAGTGGAGGTCACTGGTGGCCTTGACCACTGGGCATCGTGGGCTTGCCGTTGGCAGGCTGGCAAGGGCGAATCCTCCCTGGAATAGGCTCATGTGCCGGGGAGAAGAGGAACAGGAGGCAGCAAAGGCAGACCACTACTTTTTTCTTTTTTAAGAATTTAGCTGTAAAGGCATGAGGGAGCTGTGGGTGGGATGTGGGATCAAGGAAATTTACTTTTTTCTTTTTAAATACTGGGAATCAAACCCTGGGCCTCCCGCATGCTAGGTGAGCGCTCTACCACTGAGCTAAACCTCACAGCCGCCAAACTGACTTCTTAATGGGACAATTACAGCATGTTGTGTACTGAAGGTTGATTCGGTAGAGGAACAGAGAGATTGCAGACGCAAAAGAGAAGCAATGTCTCCTCCGGGCCACAGGCCTGGCCTCAGAGGAGAGGGCAGGCCTCGCCCCTGGCAGCAGCAGGAAGGCAGCGTGTGCCACAGGAGGCCAGGCGTGGGAGCTGGAGTGGGTCCTCCACAGACCTGGGCCGGGTTTCTCTTTTCTCTGCGAAACAGCGAGCTAGGCCATCAGCTGAGAGTGAGGACAGGGAAAAGGTTTACAGAGGGAGGAAAGGGCAGTCAAGGTGCATTGGGGAGGACGGTACTGAATAAATTTGGGAGATGGATGGATCTGGAGGAAGATCAATAGCCTGATGTTTTGCTGTCACGTTCAACCGCGGTGGGTGCAGATTTAACCAGCATCGGGGTTCTGCCATCCAAGTATAGCAAAGTAAGAGTGCACAAGGGGGAGGGTGGACCCCAGGGAGTGATTATAATGATGGCCCATGAGATTTCAGCTGGGCAGGGAGAGCCTTGAGAAAGAATGGGGCGGGGGGGGGGGGCGCAATCAGTTACAGATCCCAGTGGGTTCAGGGAATTTCGAGTTTGGTATTAGAAGAGACTAGTTGAAAAAATAGGTACTAGCCAGAAAATGTGAAACTTGAAATTAAGGGGATGTAAGGAGGGCCACGGTCAGCAATGACCAGGTCAAGGGATATTGGACCTTAGCTAGGATGAAGGACATCATGACTGGAGTAGAGGTCATGAACTTGAGAAACCAGGGTGCTGGAGGAATCACCCATGCAGACACTGAGATCACTCAGAACCCTCAGTGGAGCAAACGTGGAGTTATGGTGAGCCAAGAGCTGAAGGTGCGGGGGACAGTTGGGGGTATCAGCAGCTGACTGCAAAAGGAGAGTTAGAGTGCGCGTGGCCTGATGGCTTGAATCTGAAAGGTAGAGGTGTCTAGAAGGTACTGAAGAAAGACGTCCTACTTGGTAAATTGCTGAGAAGTGCTTAGTGGCATAGAGTACAACAGCAAGACTTCCCAGGACTGCAGGGGGGGCCGTGTCCTCAGGTGCTGGTGAGTTTCAGTTAGCAAAGAATGTAAGGACAACCAGGAGGAGGTCGATGGCAGTCATAGGGCGGTCACTGCTGGCTGCCCATGAGTTCCCCCAACATGGGACCAGGGGATCAGGATGAGGACAAATGAAAAATGGGGGGTGGGGAAGTGATGCACAGAGGCATATGTGGGTGTGGGGTCATCCTGGAGAGTTGGCACAAGTGTCAGGGACTCCATTGGTGGCTGATATAAAACAGGACATGACAGGATATTTATATCCTGATGATGCATTGCAAGACCCAGAGGCCTCCAGGCAGATGGCCGTGTGAGGCTCTGGAGAGGAAGCAGAAGGCTCCAGCACCCCTCTCCTGCTGTGGGCGTGGGCAGCTCACTGGCGAAACCCAGGCTCTCACTGAGCTCTAGAGGCAGCTATATTACATTTTTATATTAATGTAAGTTGTAAAAAAAAATGTCCTTGACAATTCATTTTTGTCTCAATCATGTGGCTTTTCCTTTTGCATAAAAAGAAGAGCACTGTTCAACTATCTCTCAGAATTATTATAAGTAAATAGGGCTGCAAGGTAAGCCGTGAATATTGTGCTCCACTAAAATATTTCTGATTTTAAATACTGTTTGCCGGGGCTGGGGATGTGGCTCAAGCGGTAGCGCGCTCGCCTGGCATGTGTGTGGCCCGGGTTCGATCCTCAGCACCACATACAAACAAAGATGTTGTGCCCGCTGAAAACTAAAATAAATAAATAAATATTTTAAAAAAAAAAGGGCTGGGATGTAACTTGGTGGTTCAATCCCCAGTACCAAAAATTATAAAAATAAATAAATAAATAAATAAATACTGTTTGCCCCCCACCAATACATTGAAGTACTAGCAACAAAATAGATATCAAAGTTAGTGTAATGTTCATGTAGAAAATGGATTTATAAAAACCACACAGATACTGGTTAATCACAGAATTCATTGCTAGATGGTAGAGGCAAATGCCAGCTACCTGATTTCTTTATATGTAATTATTTTCCATTTTTATTGATCTTGATTTTGATCAAGACTGATTTGATTTTTTGACATTGGATTAAAGATAAATCATTAAATATTATAAACTTTTAACTTATCAAATAAAATTTAAAATCTATGGAATTTAAAATGAGGCATTTATTTTAGCTTCTTATCCCTGTCTCTGAGAAGATTCTTTGTGTTGACAATTCACATTCATAACGCATCTTCACCTCTTTCTCCAAACTATTTGGCAAAGTTATGAACACATCACAGATAAGTAAAGCCACCCCAAAGTCCTGGGTGAGCCTAAGCACGCACGTGAGTCCGGGAAGGCCATGAGGTTCGGTGCGCTTTCAGAGGGGCCACCCTTCACCCTGACCTCCCTGACCATTTTAAGCAAATGATCTTCATTCATCCAACAAATGTGCTGAGTACCTGTTTGTACTGTTGTTGGTCTAAATAGTAAACAGGAAACCACAAGGACTAATCATGATAGAGCTAATATGGAAACATGCGTGGCTGAGATGTCCCCTGCTTTGGATAAGGAGTCAAGAAACCCTGAGGCCAAAGATCCAGGAGATACCAACTATTGAGCAATCTCAGGTAACAGGAGGAGAGAAGAGAACAAAGAACAAAGCCCATGTCGAGGGGGAGCTTGGTCTATGCCACTGAACACAACCAGTGTGCTTAAAAAACAGCACAGAGGCCATGGTCAGCACCTTGGGTTTTATCCTAAGGTGAAGTCCTTGGAGGTTTAAGCAGGAGACTGATGTTACAGAAATTACCTTTTAAAGAACAGCAGTCTCCCTGCAACGTGGAGATGATGTGCACTAAAAGGCTGGAAGGGGGACAGCCAGAAGTGACCACTCAGGGTAAAATTAAAGGATTTGGTCACTGATTGGCAGTGGGTCAGGGAAACGAAAGTTCTGCTTTACTGAGACGGGTGAAATGGTAGAAAGGGGAGAACAGAGGCAGGGAGCACAGGGTCCACTTCTGAGTGTGTCTGATGTGTCTGAAGCATTGAGCTGAGTTGGTGAGTTGGAGCACAGGGGGTGGGGGTGGGGGGGTGGGGGGTGGAGGTCAGAGGTCAGAGGTGGAGAGAGAAATGCAGTCCCCAGCATGGGGGTGGTACAAATCCACAAGAGTGACAGAGAACATAAGAAGGAAGGAACCATAATGCACATCCCCTGAGGAGCCACCAGCCTTTGGGAGCTGAGCAGGAGGGTGGCAGCCAGCATGGGCACCCAGCAAGGAAGGGAAGACCCGGAGCTGTGAGGTGTTGAAGAAGCAGGAGAGGAAGCCCTGCCGGAAGGAAGGCGTGGCTTTGGTGTGGAGAAGTTGGAAGGACGAGGTCAGTACAGTGCCCTTTGCCTGTGAAGACAGACAGATCATGGCGACTCTGGAGGAGTCCTTGGAGATGGAGGCAGATTCTTATGGGATGAAGCGTGGACAGAGGGGAGTCGACTCCTTCTGAAGTTTTGGTAGGAAGAGGAGTGGGGAAATGTGGCCGTGGGAGGAGGGTTCTTCCGACATTGCAAAGGCTGGAGCTCGTTCTGCTCACTGGCAGGAGCAACGGAGATGGGTTTCTTGGTGACTCAGGAGAGAAATGCGATTGCTGAAGAAGGGGAGAGCTTTTGAGCAGGGCTTGCATCCAGCACTGCCGGAGGGATGGAGGCTCAGCGGGAGGAGGGCAGCTGTCTTTGCTGTGAGAGGGGCGAGGGCAGATGAGCTCCTCCACGCAATGGCTCCACGAACGCAGGCACCTTCTCCACTGCGTGTCACCCTGCATTGAAGAGGGCTCCACACATACAGGATGGTTGGTAAATGTTTGCTGCATAAACAAGAATATCATTCATGGCTCCTGTCCTGAGCAAACTGTGAAGTAGCTTGTGCAGATGAAAACAGGAGAGAGATGGGATGTGAGCAATTTGGCAAGAAGAGAGAGGAATCATGCCACTGGAGAAGTGCGATGAATCATGAGGTAGCTGCACGTGCCCATTTTAAGTCTGATCAGCAGTTGAGAAAGTGTGATTAGTGATGGAGAATCTACTGTCATCTGCATTCAGGGCCAGGGATCTGCCCAAGGAAGGTGGAGGCAGGGTTTCCAAGTGTGGTTTGTGCCAGTGACAGATGCAGAGGACCTTGGAGATCTGTGTCCCAGGTCCTGTTTATGTGGTGGATCATGGAGTCTGTGCAGACCAGGAAGGAAGGTAAACTTGAAGAGAGCAGTAGCCAGGGAGAAAGGCTGGATCAGTTGATTAGAAGAAGTCAAAGAGTTCAGCAGTGTCCACCGCTGGCCAGAGTTCTGCAGAGACAGAGACAGTAGTTAGAATGAGAATGTTTAGAACTGGGGTTTCCGAGGCAGTGTGGTTTCTCAGGATGATAAGGCCTGAGAAGGAGCCATAGAGTGGAGAAAGGCGAAGGTCGTAGGAGATGAGAAGGTTAGACTGGACGAGCAGGAGGAGAGGTGGAGGCGTCCAGGCCCCAGAATGGCCACGGAAACAGGAGCCCAGGTGGAGACTGAGCTGGGAGCTGGTCTCCCAAGAGCCAGGGGCTGGGTCGAGACCCTGGGGCTGCAGGGAGGAGAGGGAGGTGAGCAGCCAGGCAGCACAGGCTCCAGAGGGGGGGACTGAGGGCTTAGGAGACAGGAGACAAGCTCCACCTCTGGCCTCCAAATATGTGTAGGTGAAACTGAAGGCAGCCCTTGTCTCAGATGCTGCAAGGGAGATAGTTTCTTTTAACTCAGAGAGAAACACGAGGAAAGGGAGGAGTAGAAATTGGTCGGTGCTGGGGACGTACAGCGCCACAGGGGACGGAGCGTTTGGGTGAGAAGAGTGCTGGGTGTGAGGGAGCAGGGCTGTGAGGCGGGGTGTGTTCCGATGATCTTGGCAGGGAGGCAGGGACACAATCTGGTGACCTGGCTCTTCTCCTCTCAGGTGTGACTCTTAGCATTAGGATCCTTCATCCCAAAGGTTTTAGTCCACTTTTGTGTTGCTGTGACCAAGATATCAGAGAAGAACAACTTAGAGGAGGAAAATTTTATTCGGGGCTCACAGTTTCAGGGGTCTCAGCCCATGCATGACTGACTCCGCTGCTCTGGGCCCAGGGTGAGGCAGCACAGCATGGTAGAAAGGTCCAGGGGAGGACAGATGTCAGCTCACGGTGGGGTCAGGAAGCACAGAGAGAGGGAAGGGCGGAAGGGGCCACAGGGAAGATGCAGCCTTCTAGGGTACACCTCCAGTGACCCCCTTCTCTAGCCACATCCCACCTGCCCACAGTTACCTCTCAGACCCTTCAAACTAGCTTGGACTGATTAGGTTATAGCTCCCACAGCCCGTCATTTCACCTTTGAATATTCCTGCATTAACATGAGCGTTTTGGAGGGACACCTCACAGCCAAACCATAATAGGTTTCCTCAGCATTATAGGCTTATGCACGCCAAAGTTCCAGATCATTATAAATGTAATGTTACCTAATCCAATCCAAAAAAAAAAAAAAAAACATTTTTACAAGCTATTTGGGTCACCCAAATTCTAATCAGCTCATTAAGTGTTCAGTGGAACTAGCAGTTCATTGCCTCTCCCGTAATCTCACACCAAAGATAGGAGATTGCTGTTTCCCTCCATGGGCCTCAGAATCACCTAGAAACCTGCAGCCCTGTGTCAGGACTGAGTGAAGAGTTTCACCCACAACAGAAGGGAGGGGCGTGAAAGTGCCGAGGTGGAGGAAAGTCCCAGGGAGACAGAGGAGGGGCAGGGGTGAGGACCCGCTACTTTCAAGAAGTCAGATGCAGGCTCCATTTCACTGGAGGGCGAGGTTCTTGGACCCACGGACCCAGGGACTGAAATGAAGGACTAATGGCTGCGCCCCTCACGGCCCTGCTGGCTGCCACGGCCCCTGAGGACAGAGAGCATTAAGCTCTGGCTCCCACTCTCCCCGAGTCCCCTGGGCTAGCAGGCTACATGCCCTCAGCCTCGCCTTGCAGGACGGCTGTGCCACAGCAGCGACAGGGACACAGAGGCCAGTTGGTTTGCACCTCCTTCCAGAAGATTCCACAAGCACTGGAAGTCGGGCTACTTTCTGGCATCACGTCTTCTGCAAAGTGCTCCCTAAATTGCAACCCAGGGTGCGTCTGCAGCTCCAATTATTTTTTCGGTGCCGTTTGATCTGTTTCCATCAGGCATTTGATTTCTCCCTCAGATGATTGTTTTTCCCAGGAGTGAGCAAAGTCCAGCCCTTTCTCCAGCCAGCTCACTTCATCAGCACCGACAGATGTCCAGGGATGAAAGGAACACCATTAGCCATGGAACAGAAAGTAAAGACAGCGGTGCGACAGGAGCCGCCACCGAGACCGCCGCTAACTCTCTCGGGCAAACAACCTGCAAATAAAGAAAAATGAGATGACGATTACTGACAATTTGAGGAGTAATTGTTTTAGAAAAAAGAAATTCTAGTACATACAATGGCTAGGACATTGTCCGTATAGGAAACAGAAATATTTTCAACCCAACCTAGCTCCTCTGTAAACTTGTTTCAGATTTTTTTCAACCCAAAGAGGAAGGTCTGTGATAATCTGGTTTTCATTAGTTTCTAATTTGTGGCCAAGAAAAAGCAAATGAATTTTTTTTGCTGTGTGTGTGTGTGTGTGTGTGTGTGTGTGAGAGAGAGAGAGAGAGAGAGAGAGAGAGAGAGAGAGAGAGAGAATTTTTTAAAAAAAGGGTGGAGGTTGGGGGCACTGTGGGGGGGCCTCTGGAGCCTGGCTGAGTTCCGACTGGGTCTGGGTCCTACGATGGCCCTCAGCAACAGATCCTGCTTCTGTGCAACCCGGCAGTCCCATCCTCTGCCTGGGGGTGGGAAGAACTCACGAGTGGGCGCAGCCTTGCCACCACTGCGGGCTCAGCACAGTCCCTCGGCGGGCGGCAGTGGCTCTGCTCAGGGCTTCGGTGCTCCCTGGAGATTGAGGGAGAGGCCCCGGGAACCCAGGTGCTTTGGGCTCCGAGTTAAGGGAAGCCAGAATTCCTGGGGGGGAGACAAGGGAGGCCAAGCGCTGTCCCTGAGTGCCCCCAAGAGGATGCTCTGGAGAACACCAGGCAGTACCAACCCCCTCTCCCCGGCTCCAAGGACTCAGAGGGGGCCAGCAGCTCCTGGACAGCTGACAAGCTGCGACTCATTTTGAGAGAACATTTGCCAGCTTTCCCAGATTTTAGTTTTACTTAATTTCCCTATACCTCAATTTTATTTTATTTTTTTTTTTTTTGCCGTTTTAGATTTTAGATTCCTTCCTGCTTCCTTTTCCTGTGAAAGCATACAAATGACACAGCCCAGGGAAGCCAGGTGACCCCGCCTACAGGAGAGGGTGTGTGAGGCACAGTTCCTTCCGGCCCAGCAGGACCCGCAGGTGACCACCCGTGTTCCTGTGTTGGGCTTGATCTGCAGCCAGTGGCCAGCAGGAGAGGGGAAGCTGCCTGGCCCCTGTGGGGCTTGAACTAGTGACCCCTGCTTCATTATAGAATGATGTTCTCCCCAGCCAAGTCTTCTAACTACCTTCAGGCCAACAAAAAACAGCATCTCGTTCATTATATTCTCCCACGACTCATTATTTAGATTCCTAAAACATGAATTTATGGAAGAATCTATGAATTCTGTACTTTAAAATGAATGTTTCCTATTCTTAAGAGAATCTATGAACATGAGCATATAAAGATGGAATAATTTACTCCTGAAATAAATAAAATATAAAGCATGCAATGAGTCAAGATTTTGCCTAGGTAGAGCATAGTAACCATGTATTTTCCACTCTAATCTGATGAAATATAAGAGGAAGATTTTTATAATTATTCGAAGTGCAGAGTAGTATCTTTTGTATCTTTTGATGTTTATTTTCAAAAATGTTTGCAAATGTTATATAGACAATTCTAAATAATTTTAGTTATCTGTAGATTATCCACTTTATGAAAGCAAACCTAGAAATGTACAAACTAGGTTTAATCAAAGTTTAAATAATAGTTTGACAGGTTAATATTATCCTACGTATGCACCCATGCACACACATTCTCCCCTCCCTCCCTCCCTCCCTCCCTCCCTCTCTCTCTCTCTCTCTCTCTCACACACACACACACACACACACACACAGTATTCCAAAGGAAAATGATGCTTAAGTGATTTTGGCTAATTATCTGCTTTAAGCTCACTTGAGAATGGATTCTACGAAGACCCAGTCCACGTTACAAATTAACCGTATTCTTCCAAGTTGGTTCTGTTTGTAAAATGCTATCTAATATTGATAAGTGAAAAGGCCCTGGAAATAGAAGTAATAGCAAAAGAACAATGTTGGTTCCTTTCTACTAGTCGGAGCCCATCTATCAATCCCTTTACCATGGCTGCATGGTGTACACTGAGATAAATACAGATGTTCCCTTCTGCTTGGTGCTAATTTGTCACAACTCTTCAAGAAGTGCTCAGTGGCATGCTTGCAGTGAACTTGTGTTTTTGTTCCAGTGTGTGGTTAAAAGGAGTCTATGGAAATATGGGTCAAAGCTTGAAAGGAAACTAAAGGAGGTTTTTTGCTAATGACATGTGATTACTTGTCTAAATTATTTCCTCAGGGTAGTAAGCTTTCTACAGATTCTAGCACAATATTTATTCTAGGTCAAAAGGTTTTTGTTTTTAATTTCACAATATTTAAAAATGTTATGCTTTCAGAAGGCACCTTTCAGACATTGTGTGTGCTTTTGAATCATCAGAAATCACCAGATGCACATGTTAACATATTTGTCTCCCCTGGGAAAAAGAATCGCATGCTCAAATGCTCTTTTATCACAAACAAAATAAATGCAATAGTGCTTACTAACAAATTCTTTAACTAATGGATATTAGTTTTACAAATTCCACTAGCATTTCAACCATTATGAATGAAGTCAGCAAGATTTACGAAGTCTCATTGGACTTTGTCCATTCCTTAACTTCTTCCTAGATAGTAGTGAAGCCAAGTAAATCAAACAGATAAATGATTAGTTGTCAGTTATGGGAGCAACTTACTTTATTTCTTTTATATCTTTTAGTTGTGGATGGGCACAATACCTTTATTTATCTATCTATCTATCTATCTATCTATCTATTTATTTTTATGTGGTGCTGAGGATCAAACCCAGTACCTCACACATGCTAGGCCAGAGCTCTACCACTGAGACCCAGCCCCAGCCCAGGAGCAATTAATTTAAAATATTTATGTAGATAAAAACATTCTGAATCCCTCTATTATTAATTCCCATTGCCATTATTTATCAGAATTCCTTAACTAATTAAAACTTAATGGCATTTATTCATCCATTCTACAGTTATTGTATACCAGCTATTGACAAGATTTTATGCCAAGTTCAGGACATGTAAATAGGTAAAGGGATGTGAGGTGCGTGCAGAGAATCTTTAAAAGGCTAAAAAGGACTGGAGCATTTCAGGTCCCAAAGAGTCAAACAATTCGATCAGCCAAAGAAACCCCTCAGGACAACATCCCACACCAAGAAGAAATTTTCTTAGAATAGATAATAGTAAAAAAGAAAATAGAAATTCCAATTAAAAGTGGGAAACCATGGGGCTGGGGCTCAGTGGTGGAGTGCTTGCCTTGCACGTGTGAGGCACTGGGTTCCATCCTCAGCACCACATAAAAATAAATAAATAAAATAAAGGTATTGTGTTCATCTATGACTAAAAAAAAAAAAATTTTAAAAAGTGAGGACCAGAGTTGGGAAGCTGCAGAAAGTGAGCCCATGTAATTTTGAACACTGCCCCCAAATCACCAGAATAGGGAAAGCTGCCCTAAAAGCTTCTCCGAGTCCTACCTCTTTGTGAAGTTTCAGGAAAATTAATTTCAGCTACAACTGAGCAAGATTTCATGGACAACTGAGCAGCCCTAACAGAAAAGAAGTGAAGTGAAATCCCATAAAAAGTTCTTAAAAGGATACAGAGAACGGAGAACAGGATATGAAAGAAGAGCCACAAGACGGAAGAAAAGTAAAACAAGTGGCAGAGCCGTTTCAAAGTGAGCTGTTGTTATGAGTGGAAATAAGTACAAAAGATCATCTCAACAGAAACAAAAGGGAAAAAGGACAAACTTCTGAAAAACAAGTACAAATTAGAAGATTTGAGAGAGCTAATGGATTTAGAAATCAGGTAAAGAAGATCCAATATGTGTATACTTGAAATCAAAGAAGGAACTCATCAAAGCAAGAGAATAGAGCAAATGCTAAAAATCAAGTTCAACACAAGTGTCCTCACAGTAGGCTTGTGGACCGACCCAAAGGTGACGGATTCCAAGACATATCCCTCTTTTCTCTTTATCGGTTCTTTTTCATTAAATATAACATTAGGATTCATTTTTACCTAATTATAAAAGCATGGCATGTAATTTGCTCTGATTCTGCTTCCCCTCCCCCTCCCCTTCTCCTGCCTATTCCCTTCCCTCCACTGATCTTTCTGCTGTTTACTTACAGTGTGTGTGTGGGGGGGGGGTGTTTGTTTTGGTTGGTTGGCTGGTTGGCTGGTTGGCTGGTTTTTAGTTAATGGCTTGTGGAGATACTTGACGGTGAGATTCACTATGGTATATTCATGTTTGTACATAGGAAAGTTAGGTCAGATTAATTCCACTCTTCTTCCCTTACCCAGTCTCTCCTACCTCTCCCTCAGTCCCTCCCTCTAGTCTGCCAATCTTCTTCTGTTTTGATGGAATACCCTCAATTCCACCACACTCCCGTTTTGGACTAGCTTCCACGTATCAGAGAAAACATTAAACTTTTGATTTGGGGGATCTGGCTTATTTCACTTAGCATGATCGTATCCAGTTCCATCTATATATTAGCAAGTATCCTTATTTAATTCTTTTTTATAACTAAGTAATACTCCATTGGGTACATATACCACATTTTCTTTATCCATTCTTTTGTTGAAGGGCACCTAGATTGGTTCCTAGGTTAGCGAGTGTGAATTTTGCTGCTATAAACATTGATCCCTACAGTATGCTGATTTTAGATCTTTGGGATATATAACAAGGAGTGAGATAGCTGTGTCACATGGTGGTTCTATTCCCAGTGTTTTCAGGAATCGCCATACTGCTTTCCAGAGTGGTTGCACAAATTTGCAGTCCAACCAACAATGTATGAGTGTCCCTTTTTCTCCACATCCTCACCAATACTTACTATTTGTATTCATGGTAATTGCCAATCTGACCAGGATGAGATGAAATCTCAGTGTAGTTTTGATTTGGATTTTTTGATAGAGATGTTGAGCTTTTTTAATATATTTGTTGGCCATTTGTATTTCTTATTTTAAAGAGTGTCTGATTAGTTCTTTTTCCCATGTGTTAATGGATTATTTGGGTCTGGGTGTTTGTTGAGTTGTTTTTATGTAATCTGAATATTAATGTCCTATGGGAAGAGCAGGTGGCAGACATCTCTCCCATTCCCAAGGCTTCTCTTCACACTCTTGTTTTCTTTCCTGTGTATAAGCTTTTTAATTGATGCCATCCACTTATTAATTTTGGGTTTTATTTTTTGTGCTCTAGGAGTCTTGTTAATGAGCCAGGCCAAACATTTGAGTGTTGGCCCTACATTTTCTTCTAGCAGTTCAGAGTTTCTGGTCTAATCCTTCGAGTTGACTTTTGTGCAGGGTGAGATAGAGGTCAAGTTCATTCTTCCACATATGGATTTCCAGATTTCCCAGCACCATGTTTTAAAAAGGCTCTGTTTCCTCCAATGTATGTTCTTGGCACAGAAATAGTTATCGTCTAGTATCAGATGACTATTTCTGTGGGTTTGTCTCTGTGTCATCTAGTCCCTTGGTTTTCATGTCTATCTTGGGGCCAGGGCCACACTCTTTATGTTACCATTGCTCTGTAGTATGAGTTGAGGTCTGGTTTTGTGATGCCTCAGGCATTATTCTTTTTGCTCAGAATTACTTTAGCTATTCTGCATCTCTTGTTTTTCCAAATGAATCTTAGAATCACATTTTTTGGTTCTGAGAAGAATGCCATTGGTATTTTGATGGAATTTCATCAAATCTGTACAACATTTTTTATAGTATGGATATTTTGATGATATTAAGTCTACCTATCTAATTACATTGGAGATCTTTTCATCTGCATGGTCTTCCCCAATTTGTTTCTTCAGTGTTCTATAATTTTATTGTGGGTGTCCTTCACATCCTTAGTTAGAATAATTCTCAAA